GTCGACGTCGACTCCTGGTGACTGCATGGACAAGTCTATCCTTGTCCATGTAGTTTTCTTGGCAAGAGTTGAGGAAGTGGTTTGCCATTGCCTTCTTCCTTGAATGATGTCACGCGCGCGCGGGGAAAGAATGCCTTCCGGGAGGACTTTTATGGGGAACTGGCCTCCTATTTAGTCGTTATTGGCAAGGAGAAAACCCGGAAAACTCCAAGCAGCCAGCCTGTCCGATCGCGGCACGAACCCACGACCGAACTTCCCAGTGTTTAGGGTCCAGTCACCACCGCTATGAGCAGCAACGGAGACCACTCGGCCACTGGTGGGCTAAGTTTACATACAAAAAGTTTAAAAAATTTAATATTTGCTGCTGATTGAGTTTGTTTTCATTAAAAAGTGAACTGAAACTCAAAACAATCAAAATTGTTTCAGACTATTGATATTGAATGTTTTAGCTTACATTTGATGATTTATTGGAATAGGTTTTCCTTCAAATTTCTATTATATAGTTCTTTATTTTGGATCATCTGCTATCTCCTATTAGAATCTTTCTATAGCAATACATTTTAAATGCTAATATTTTTTAGAATCTTTCTCATCTAGGTATTGTATCCATATAACACAGTAAGAAAAGAGATGTTTCAAAATTTATTTGAACTAATTGATTTTGCTTTTTGGAAGTTATTTATTGTTTGTAGGTTTATTTTATCTGGATTCTGCAGTCTATCATAGGTTACTTTGCTTCCAAGTTGAGCAAACTCATTAACATTTTCAAATTTTTTACTGTATTTCCAAAAATATTTATTTTTAGTTTTTTTGATGTTTGTAATCAGTCCATTTCTTTTCTTTATTTAATACATGTACCATTCTTTTATTTTCTTCAATAAAAGTGTTATCAGCACATCATAAATTATTCATTCTCATCTCATGAATCAAAATAAACTTTTTAATTTTCATACTGGTACTTTTTAAGTGTGAGAGATCAGTGCCTTCTCAATGTTAACTTGCATCTGAGGCAAAGTTTTTGCTGCTCTTGCTTTTAGGCTTCTAGCACTGGCACACTGGTATGAACCATTTATAAACAATATTAGTGTGTTTTTACAGGACTTCATTGTATTCAGATTTTTTTTTTTTGAACATTGACATTTGACTGCTAGTTTTCAAAATATATCAAAATACTACTAAAAGTAATGCAAATTGAAGACCAAACACTAGAGTCGTATCACTTCACCCACCAAACTAGCCTGTTTGAGATCATTATATTGGACTTGCATCAAAGTATGTTATGTAGTCGATTCCTTTTTAGTTACGTCAGACTGAGCAATTAGGGATGTTAGAAAGATTTCTACATTTTTGTGATCTTTGTGAAAAAATTAGCATCTTCCCACTTGATATTTTGGATGTTAAGTTTAGCTGTCTTGTCTTTTGTCAGGGGCTTTTGTTAAATATTGTTTTATGTAAAATTATAAGTTAAAGTAATTGGTTTATATTCTTAAACTACTAATTTCATTTGTATTGATTTAGTTATTTTTTCGGTTAGCACATAGTAATGATTTCTTTTATATATATATATTTAAATCTATGTATGCTATTAATGAAGTAACATCATAAAAATTTGTCAATTTCTTTAACTTGAAACCAGTGTTGTACCAATATCTCACTTCTAGTTTTCAGAGTGTGTGTGTGTGTCTGTCTGTTTAAATCTTATGATTTTGCTCAGTGATTTACTTTAAGAAATAGTAAATATACAGTCCATTAAAAATCTTTTTATAAGATACTAAACAAATCCTTTTTTTTCTTTTTTTAGATGTATCGTTTAACAATAAGAACAAGTAAAGAAGCTGTTTCAAAACAGTTATGCGAACTTCTCCATGAGCAGTTCTAATATTTTTTTTATTTGCTCTTCCAATGGTTAAAATAATTAATGAATATAGACTGCCAAAGCCATGTTAAACAACAAGGCCAAACATAAGGTTACCAACCAAATCTGAATAACAAATTTTTGTTCTAAATCCAAAAATTCTCAAAACAATTTTGTATATAGTTATGTGTATTATGGAAACACTTGTTTATTTACATAGATATGCCTATAGTTTTCTTTGTTTACATTTAAAACAAATCATATAGACCTATATATTGGTAATTATGGTGTGACAATTTTAAACTTTTTTTCAAAGCCTGGAGTATTTAATCTTCAGCAACAAATCTCCACTAGGATCTGTAGCCTTTTGTGACTTCTTGTGAAAATTAACCATTGGATAAAATTTTGAATGAGTTCTGATAAAATTTATTTATTTTTTCAAACGGATGGACCTTCCTCCTCCAACACGTTGGCAAATGCTGTTTTCAGTTGGAATATTGTTCATGATTTTTGTTAATTTCATAAGCCTTTTGTAAATGCTGCAAGTAAATTCACTCATACTAACTTAGATAACTTTTAAGTAGTAAACATTCACAAAGCTGCTTCTCTTTATTCTTTGCATGATTGAGATCTTTTTAACTAGTAAAACAAAAACAACAAAAATGAACTGTTTGGCATAATACACTGCAGACATTCCTCAGTTCTATATTAAATTGTTTTATGGAATATTTGTATAATAACATGCTGCATATCAGAAATTGAAGTGATATTCATCTGTAAACGTGAACATTATGATTGTAAATTGAGGAAAAAAACATTCCTAATGCTGTGTTGTCAATTGTTAGGATTAATTATGGTTTATGGCAACAGCAATAAATGTTATTGTATGACATGCAGTTTAGTAATTACTGTGTAAATAAATTCCCACAAGAACACACTGTCAGCTTGTTATTGCTATGTTAAATACTGAAAAGATTCTTTAAAAGCTATGTTATGGTTTATAGTTAAAACACATGAAATTTAAACGTACTTGAATTTTAATAAATAAAAATTAGATATTAAATATGAAATCAGAGTATCATATGTAATTTAAAAAATTGCATCAAAATACTACTAAAAGTAATGCAAATTGAAGAACAAACACAAATAAAACTGTTTTCCTACTGTTGAAAAGGATTTATTGACACTATCAAAAATGCTAATCAAGACTAAAATTTGGCCAACAAATAAAACTTCAGATTATACCTTGACACTCCAGTTTTGGTTTCAGAAACAGCAAAATTATGAAAATTTTTTTCTGTTTAAGCCATAAATTATGTATTGTAGTGCATTTACAGTAAAAATAACTTCGATTTTTATAATTTTTCTTAGTTCTGGAATGGAACATAAAACTTGTAATGCATGAAAGGCAAACAATAACTTTCAGATATATTTAGGAACATATTAAAGATATTATAGATATTATATTATAGATATTATAGAGCACAAATGTGGTCTATAATTGTTCAAAAAACAATATTAAACAAATATTTTAAAATATTTCTTATCCATTGTCATACAGTAAAGATGGTTAGGAATATACTGGGTTTTCCTAAACTGGTACCATTCTGTTTTTTTATCTTAATTTTGAGAGAATTTATTCAAGTTTTCATAATTTACTATAAATTATCCAAAAAAAATTCAAATTGAGATTTATTCAGAATTCATATTGCAACATAATAAGTACTGCTTGGACAAGTGGTTAAGGTGTTGGCTTCAAGGGAAGATAAGGGATGGGCGGCTGCCATAAATGGAAGGTTGGCCTACCACTCTGGGGACTTGGAATGAATCGACTGGCCAAACCCATAATAAATGATTAAAAAAGACCCTCTTGTGCCTGCAGGGCAAAAAGTGACTTTTTTAATGAGTGATTTGTTTTGTAATAATCATTTGCAGTTTTTGTTTTTATGGAGTGGAGCGTAAGTAAACCTGCATAAGTCAGTGTTTTCCCTGTGATCAAAGTTTAAAGCCAATAGCACAACCACTAAATATGATTTTTTTTTTGTTTTTTGCAAACACGTACAATTCGGCACAGCCGATGTGACTAAGTCAGAATTTTGAAATTCGATATTTGGACTGAGATATTCAAGATCAGAATTGATCGCGCACTAAATGCTAGTTGAATTTCTGATGGCAGTCAAATATGGCCGCTCGACAATTTATATTGATCTTAAAATTTTTTATCTGTACGACAGACATTTAACAAAACCTGTGGCTGCATGTGCATGTTTCAACCAGTTGCTGGAGTTGGTAGACTCCTGGTCGCACGTGGGTGTTTTTAAATATTTCTTGATGTTTCAGTTACGATGTTAGACATTTAGGTTCTGGGGATGCTGTATGATACATGTTTTAAACTACTGACAACCCTGATTAAAAGCATATCACAGCATCTTTTTGTGTGAAAATGAAAATCCCACGCTAATGAAGCTGGTCTGTTTTTGTAGAGAATAACTAATAATTTTTAATTAGAAATATGGCTGATCCTGCTTACATACTCTATTAGAAATGTCATGATCGGCCATATTTTACTAGTGGATTCATTATAACGGTATCTTGCAATAATACTAATAACTTGAAATCAGCATAACTATTATTCTGCTAATATGGAATGATACTGAGTGATATTACTTCAACTCTCAATAGTTAACGTGTACGATATGATTTACTCCGTTTTAAAGTTGTGCTTGTAGGAACATCGACTTCAACGTAACACATTAGTTACCTTTATAGCTCTCCGCAATATGGGCATTAAGAGGGCTTTTTAGCAAGCCCGTTGTGGGTTTGGCCAGGTCCACAGCGAGATGGGCCAAAACACAAAACTAAGGAATTTTTTTTAATAGGGTGATCTGTTCCTATGAAAAACTTGATTTTCAACCCATCCAAATTTGATCCTGGATCTCCAGAACAATGGGTCGCTACCTTTAATCGCTCGGCCATCTAACAGGTCAATTAGAAGATATCGTGTTTAGCCCGATTGCTATCCGACCCTTTAATTTTTTCGTGGCTCAAAAAATGTTTTTCTGCTTAAAATTGGCATTATTAATACTGTCGGTATAGTAGTTGACGCTCTTTACTGACATAATCGAAAGCTTTGTAAAATATCGTCATAAGTTTTCGCGAATTTTGTATGCACGCGTGGAAAAGGGTTTCTAGAGAAGTCGTCGCTGGTGCGTTTAAAGTGTTCGACTCGAATGCGCTTTATGGTACAGATGATGCTGTGTACGAAGACAGCGACAAAGAATCAACGATGAATCAGTCATCTGACGACAGCAAATGAACAATTAAATGGTGTAAAATATATTCCTTATGTTTGAATAATTTGCATTTTTTTTTTCCTGGAGTTGGCTTATAATCAAATAAATACAGTATGATCTACCGTAGAATTCAACAAAGCTGGGCTGATGTCTTGACAGGCAAGCTTTGCTGTGAATTTGGACCAGAGCTGAACTGGGGTGTTGCAGCAAAACCATTTTTTAAATTACATCTATTATAATGTCGGATACAGTGGCAAACCTAAACTTATATAGACCTATTCCTTACACATTGAGGAATACAACAGAACTACAGTATGATTGTTGGATGACCTAATCAGGAAACAAAACAGTGCCAGTCTTACTTTCTATGAAGTGTGATGCCTTATGCCGTTCGTGCTCCAATTTCGCGAAATATTCGTAAAAAAATCGACCTGTGTGTGTCGTTACTGTATCGTCATTCGAAAATTGTACTTTCACATGCATTTTCATTGCTGGAAAAAGATGGAAAGTGGATAGTGCCAAATGTAAACATGAAGGATATTACAATATCTTAAAGGCACATCTGTCAATTTTAACACTACCCTGGGACACAAAAGGCCTTTTTCTAGCAAGTCCATTGTGTTCGGCCAGGCCCCATAATGGGGCGGCCGGGTGGTGAGGGACGAGGCCCGACATCTCCGGAATGACCGCCACCTGAAAAATCGTGGGACCTTTTCCAACCTGTCCGAATCGATCCCGTGTCCCCGGAGTGGTAGGCTGCCATTTTAACCACTCGGCCATTCGGCCGTTCACATCTGTCAATTGTGTAGTGGGTCTAGCGTGCCCTGGGCACATTGTTTTAATGGAAGATGACTCCTTTCCTTATTTCCTGAAATTTTCGATTATATCGAGCAATTTCGTTGCGCTGCATAAAATTTCATATGTATGAATTCATAGGCCGAAAACAATTCATCTAACACTCATAGGCGAGCCTTGAAACGCCTCCTATTTACAACTTACTACTGATTGGTTTGATGTCATAATAAAGCTAATTAAACAACTTTTCCTTAAAACTAGAAATATACAGAAAAATTTATCGAAGGTGAGAGTTCCGTTTGAATTGAATACAGTGAAAACTGCTTAGGCGACCACCTGTCAAAACGGGCAAAAATTTCTGGCACGGAATAGTTTATACATAGTCTTCGTCTAAGTTGCCCGTATTAAACGACCATCTGTGTAACGCGGCCGCGGGCATCGATTTTTGATCCCGAAACAACATAAAACAACTGTAATAAACGACCACTTCCGCGAATATATCTTGTCTAAACTATTGTTCGAACCCATCTCAACAACGTTTCCTCTCCTAATATAATAAACTAGGTTACCCGTCGCGCATTGCTGCGATCTCAGAAGAAAGGAAATTCAAGCAAACTCGTTATGATAAAATTCAATTTACATTTTATCGTTTTTATTGAAACTTATTATTATTCATTTTCATCGGGAAAACATTTCAAAGTGTCGTTTCAATTCTATTTATTTATTGGAGTGCTTGTGGATACACGATATTTTTTGTTTTTCCGTCTGGTGCGTACACGAATAAATTGGAAGGTTTTCCGACGCGTGAGCTGGCCACATACAGTTGTCCATGCGAGAAGCACAATTCTCCAAATTTAGCCCACACACTTGCAGCGATTGTCAGAAGTGCGATATTCCCCATTTATATATAAATATAGGATTAAAATATATATATATATATATTTTAACTATTTAATGGCTCCTTCCTCTCTTGGCATGTTGTGAAATTTCTGATAGTTGGATAATAAACAGTTTTATTGTAATTTGTCTTTTTAAATTATTTTGAGTCGATATTAAAATTTGGAAAAGGGGGATCCCTATATCGGTAAAATAGGCGAATTTCCTACTACAACTTCGGTTGTTGTTCGGGATACAGTTAAGTTTTGAACAAAGTTCGAGCGAATACGTAATTAGCAAAAAAAGTTTGAATAAAGTGATTAAACAAAAATTATTACAAATATCGTACATAACAGTTCACAAATGCATATATAGAGATATTTTTGGAGGGGGGAAATGGTCTTCACAATTTGAAATCGAACACAGTGAAATGCTCGTATACACGCGTGCCATCTATCGTGGGATAAATGTACTATGCCAGAAACCTTCGCGGTTCGCGGGAGTGTATTAATTTAAACAACTTCTCAAAGTTTCACGGCAATCGGATAAACGGTGTGGTAATGCATGAAGGACACAGACAGGCACACGCACATACATTCATTTATATACATAGATTAATCTAAACTCTTGTTCGAACCCACCTCGTGCACTTCTCCCACTCTTGAAAAATTAGGTGCATTAGGTTAATGGATTAGTCCAACTACAAAGAAAATTCATTTCAGATTGTTGAAAATGTCCCAAAAACGAAAGAGATACGAATTATTGTCGTTAGATGGTGTTAACTATTTTCACTTTCTCTGATAACTTAACTCTTACTTGACCAGGAGCCCCGCCCCCGTACTTTATTTTATTGCCCTTAAACTTCGCTGCTAATTGCCGTTGTGATAAACTGTGGGGAAAACACAATTTATTGTATTGTAGACCTACAGTATTTCCTTAGG